ACTATTATTACTACTACTACTACTACTACTACTACTACTACTACTACTACTACTATTACTACTACTATTACTACTACTACGACTACTACTATTACTACTACTACTACTACTACTACGACTACTACTACTACTACTACTACTACTACTACTACTACTACTACTACTACTACTACTACTACTACTACTACTACTACTACTACTACTACTACTACTACTACTACTACTACTACTACTACTACTACTACTACTACTACTACTACTACTACTACTACTACTACTACTACTACTACTACTACTACTACTACTACTACTACTACTACTACTACTACTACTCATCCGACTTCTCCGCATCCTCCTCCTGCTTAGTCTTCCTGTGCTGTTGAGTCCTGCGTTTCCTTGACGCTGCGCCGCGCGCCCCTGCCTCCTCTTCCTCCGTATCTTCCTCCTCCGCCTCCTCCTCCTCCTCGGTTTCCTCTTCCTCCTCCTCCCCTTCACCCACGCGATTTCACTACAGCATACGCGTCACACACACACACACACACACACACACTTCGCACCATCAAGAGAGCTCTAGACGGCCCTATTGGACACGTTCACAGGCGTCGTCGCTGCTTGTTTAGGCCCACCCTTCGCACAAATCGTGCCCCACAAGGGTCACTGCACTCGCGTACGTCCTCGCGGTCAAGTTCGGCACACCTCGCAAAAAAATTCGACTCGCGCGCGACTTGTCTGTGCACACCTCTCTCATACTTCGCGCCCAATACCGAATCCGAACTACGGCGCCAGTGAAACGTTCGCATGCGCCCCCGCGGGGATTTTTTTTGCCAGTCATCGCAACGTTCATGCTACTTTTGGGGCCTCAAGAAAAGCCCTAGTGTGCCCGTTCGCATGCGTCCTCGCCAGTCGTGCAGGTGCATTCCTCGCACCCACACGCACACACACACACACACATACATACACACACACATACACACACACACACACACGCGCGCGCGCGCGCGCAACACACAGTACCCCACGGGTTTCCCCAACTACAGAGCCAGCGAACAAAATCCCAGGCGTGCACGCTTCGCACATCATTCACACACTTCGTGCCCCATAGGAGACCCCAAGTGCGGCCCTACTGGGCACGGTCGCATGCGTCATCGCGGCTCATGTCAGCACACCCCTCACACACCTTATGACCCGCAGGGACATGCAACCGCGGCGCTGTGGGTACACCCACATCGTGGTCAATGCGGTGATCGCTGCGGTAGCCCTTTGTAGTGGTACGTCGGGTGGCCCTTGCGGAGGTCATTGTGGTGGTCGCTGCGGTGGTGCCCGTGGAAACCCTGCAATGGGTGGTCCCTGCGGTGACTCGGCACGCGCCCGCCCGCCTGGAGGGCCACCCGTGGGACGCGAGGGCGCGGTCTGTATGATACCCCCTGTGGAGGTCCCTGCGGCAGCACCTGTGACGAAACACAATGGTTCTCTTCGCTCCTGCAAGCAGCATCGCTCCAAGACAACGCCGCCCCCCACGCCCCTACTCAAACTCTGGCGGCCTGCTTCCTCCGCCTCGCGTGTGCCCGCAGGCCCAGCTGTAGCCTAATCGTGTCCCTCGTCCTCCTGCTCGTCCTCCTCATCTTCCTCCTCCTCCTCCTGCTCCGCCTCATCCTCCTCTCTAACGCTGAGCTGACATGAAGCTGGGCCTGATGCACTCTAACCTTCCTCCTGCTCCTCCTCCTCCTCCTCCTCCTCCTCATCATCATCATCATCATCAGCATCATCAGCATCGTCCGCCTCCTCTTCCTCCTCCTCATCCTCATCCTCATCCTCATCATCATCCTCATCTGTCTTTTTCTCCTCCTCCTCCTCCTCTTCCTCCTCCTCCTGCTCCTCCTCCTCCTCCTCCCCCTGCCCCTCTCCTCCTCCTCCTCAGCATCCTCCTCCTCCTCCTCCTCCTCCTCCTCCTCCTCCTCCGCATCCTCCTCCGTTTCGTCTTCCTCATATTCCTCCTCCTCCTCCTTCTCCTCCTCCTCGTGCGCCCCGACGAGCGCACGAAACACCATGGTCGAGCAGGACCCCATGTGGTAAAGCGGTGCGATGTGCGTCACCGCCCTCAAGAGCTGTCTGATCAGTTGGCGGCCTGGCAAACGATTGATCGATGGTTCTGGCACATTCGTTCGGTACGTGCTAAAAGTCAGCCCGTGTCTTCGAGTTTGGAGGGTGATGGCGATCAAAAAAAAATCCACTCCCTTACCAGTCAGCTATACAGATCTGGAGTGTGTGCGAAGCGCGCACGCCGAAAGCAGTGGGTGCAGGAGGAAAATCAACAGAGTGCTCAGAACTTCGCGACCAGTCCATGACTGCACCAAGCGAGAATTGGGCAGGTTGGACAACGAAGGAGTTCTTCAGCGGTTCTGGGGCTACTCATCGGTCCTCGCGTCTGGTCTGCGCAGACTGCAAGAGATCGTGGCAGACACGGAGAGGCCCCTGCTCTGCCAGCTGGTACATGATTGCAGCGATGACTGGCAGCACAGGTGCGAGGGTCCAGGACGGCATGAATCTAAAAAACGTGCCATCTGCTGGGGGGCTGGCTGAGTGTTACTTCTGGCGACGTCTGCCAGCCTTCCGCCCGCTTCCGCTGGCGGAGGCGCCCTCGTTTTATCTCCGCCGCCTTCTGCCACCCTTCCGCCGCATTCCGCCGAGGAAGAAATATCAACTCTTCCGATCCCTCGAAGGCGAGGCCCTTTCTGGAAAGCCTCACATGGCCATTGCACAGCTGCTAAGAGGCCAACCTGCCCGAGGAAGCAGCCGAGCGGTAAGCTCGCGAGCCCACCGACGCGGCCCCTGCTCGAGCAGATGTCAGGACTTTCCTGCTCACGACGGCCGTGGAGCAACCGCGGCTTCATCTTCGTGTGCTGGAAGTGTTCCCCTTCTCCTCCTCCTCATCATCCTTATCATCATCATCATCATCATCATCATCATCATCATCATCATCATCATCATCATCCTCCTCCTCCTCCTGCTCCTCCTCCTCCTCCTCATCATCATCATCATCATGATCAGCATCACCATCACCATCCTCTTCCTCGTCCTCATCCTCATCCTCATCCTCTCTCCCGTCCTCCCTCCTACCTCCTCCCTCCTCCCTCCTCCATCCTCCCTCCTTTCTCCTCCTCCTCCTCCTCCTCCTCCTCATCATCCTCCACAATTACTCAATATGAATACTACTCTCCCTCTTCCCCTGATGACGGCTTGAAAGTGTTAGCCCCCCCTCGTACTGTTTTTTTACACACAGGATTCCCCGGAGTTGGGTTTTCGCTTGAATTTTTCCAAAATGCTGCTCTCGCTGAGGCGCCGGCCTCATTTTCAGGCCCCGCTCGTTCCGAATCGTGCTCCCGCTGCAGCGCTGGCCTCATTTCCGTGCTTCCGCTCGTTCCGAATCGTGCTCCCGCTGCAGCGCTGGCCTCAT